GGTGAAACGTGCGGCTGTTGTCAGCAACCCAAAGGTAGAGAGCGGTGGCTCGCGTCTTCTCCCCAGGGGGGAGTCCTTTCTGAGTGTACAGCATGACCTTCTTTCCAGCAATGGTCGCAGTGGTGATGGACTCCACTCTCTCAGCTATTCGCCAGGAGCGCGGAAAAAACATGGACTGCACGCGTGTGAGTGTCCCGACAGCCTCCGTCCACGTTGCCCCCATGTCCCTCGACTCGTACACCCTGCGGCCAAACATAAAATCAGCAATCATGAGAAGCTGCCCCTTTTCCCACTCAACGATGAGGGGGTCTGTGCACTCTGCAGGGAGCATCCCAAGTGGAAGCAACCAATTTTTGCCGTCGTCCTTCGAATAAATGATCATGACAAAGTGGTTTCTTTCCCTTCTTGCCACCATAGGAAACACAAGCGTGCCATCCTCCATCACAACGCCTGAGCCACCAGCACTAACAAACTGGTCCAGGCCACCTTGTTTAGCAGATGGTTCGATCTTTGGCAAAAGCGAGGTGGGTTCACTCCATTGGATGACTTTATCTTGCGTGGCCTCACCCACAAGCAAATCAAAACCCCGTGAGACTTCAATCCGCTGCTTCGATGAAGGATCACTTTTCAGATAATAGCCTCCCGCAAGTAGAAAGACCTTGTTGCCCTTTGCAATTACTGTGGGGTAAATCGCGCGGCTTGCATGACCCACTTGGATGACTCGGTTGAAGACACTATGCACCTTCCATTTGTTTGCACTTACCTCATCGACAAAAGACGACCAGCTCTTCGCAGAGTCAACGTACCCCGCTACAACATCAGCATAAGCGACCGAAGCATGCTCCTCATGAAGGTTTGTGTCGTTGATGTGACTCTCGGCAAAAAAAACCAAGACCCCACCAGCACTGACGAGGGAAGGTGAGAAAAAATAATCCCTCGTTTGACTTTGACCTTGTGTTTCCACAATCGTTTGACGCGGCACCAAAAAAGGGACACCCTGTGGCGACTTGACTTCCTTTGCCTTATTCCCCTCGGCGTGCACAGCTGTACTGCTGCCACAGCACATCAACAAACCGAGAAGGAGCAGCAGCGGCGCAGGAAAAAAAAACAGGTGTCGGAGCATATTGGGCCACTGCTTATTCACTCTCACTCTTTCTTTCCTCACTCCTTGTGGTGGATCTGCTCAGGTAGCGACGGTTGTGCGTGTGTGTGTATGTTGCTGGTGGTGACCGCAGAGCCCTCAAAAAGCGCACAGCAGCGAGTAGCGCTTAATCTTTTCCTTTCCGCGTATGGGTGAAAAGGAGAAAAGTGAAGTTAAACAACAGCGCCAATGAACAAGACACGTCATCGGGGAGCAGAACACACCACTCTTGTGCACAGCGGGTCAAAAGACAGTTCAGTGGAAATGATGTGCAAAACCGCCATAAGCAAAGAAGTAAAAAAAAAAAAAAAAAAACGTACGAGCCACGGTGGACCTCAGCACACAATTAGAGTAGCTGGCGTGATAGTCCCAACCCGCTTGCAGCCCCCCCATTCGCCTCACAAGGCTCCATTGCCATGCAGACATTTCACATCGACCACCATGCCGTGTTGTGTGTGTGCTATCCAGTCGACCGGCGTCGCAAGAAGCATCACAGTCTACATCTAAAGAAAAAGATGGATGCCGCCTGCAGAGACTCATGCTCCACATGGCCCCTTCCTGCCCTTTCCTCACCCCGCCCTGCAAAAACAACCGATTGCCTGGGCCCCACCGTGCAACACGTTTACCGTCCACTACGGCGAGCGTGCCAGCTGCGTGATCGCTTTGGTGCACCCCAGTCTGTTGGCAAACATCAAGTGAATACGCCATCGGACCGGTTCTGCCGCACAGCCGCTTTAAAGATCTTTCACCGGCGGCTGTCCGTTACACCCAGGAAAGTGTAGAGAGTGCTATGGGCAGCGTGCGATGCATGCGCCCGCACATCAGCAGACTTGCTCTTTCAAAACACACATGTTTGGAGGAAGAGAGCGTAGTAAGACATCTCAGAATAATTAATTAAAAAAAACTTTCTGGTTTTGTTCTTAACCAAAGACACACTTGTCACGTCGGACCGTTATTTTATTGCACGCTCTCACGGCACAAAAAAAAACATTGGAAACAAAAATATTTCTTGAGCAAACACGGGGTGTTTCCCCAATGACAAAGGCGCACACATAACTCTTTACCCCCTTCCTTATTTTCGCACTCTACTGTGCACCTTTAAGCTTCAAAGCAACAATCGGAGAGGACTGTGCGCGCCAAAAAGGGAGCGGAAGTCCTCGTCAGAGAAACGAAACGCCACGACGCCCAATACACAGACACAGACACAGGCACACACACACACACACACACGAAGGAATTGCACAACAATGGCGGTGGGAAAAGCAAAAAAAAAAAACGCTCTAACTCCCTCGTTTTCTGCCCCTTTCAAAGGCGTTTCTTCCCACGCATTCGGCGATTGTTTTGCACCTCCTTTTCTTCACCACTACTCTGGGACGCAGTAGTGCTGCGAGTGACGCATTTCCGCGGCGATAATGAGGAAGGAGCTCCACGTTTGCGTCGCTTTCCCAGATAATAGGTCGGAATACTTTGCCCATCCGACCCTAAAACCTCCTGTTGGGTCAGTAATGGACATTTGGCAAGAAATGTGGGGACTGTTTCACCACTTTCAGCCAACGCCAGCAGCACCTCCTGAAGCAAGAGAAGGGTGCGATCCGTGAATTGACGCTTCTGCTTCGCTGGCGACAAGGATGGTGTGTGTGGGCTTGACGGAGACCGATGCGGTGAATGAAGGGGCGGTGATGCAAGAGGAGGTGAAGGGGGAGGTGCTGTGCTCGCCCCTTGCGTGGTCGCTTCTCTCTCCTGGGATTCCAGTGGTGGTGTGCACGGCACCTCAAAATCCTCTACAATAATGCCGTTTTGCGGATTCGCCCGGACGCAGTCTGGGGTATTCTCAACGATAATTACGTAGTCAATGTTGCGCCCCAGCTTTTTTAGGTCTTTGGTGTAGTCCTCGCTGCGAAACCACGCCCCGTGACGATATATCAAGTGCTGAATAATGTGTTCCTGGTTGATTTCCTCCAGTATATTTTTAGCGTACTCCCGCTCCCCCGCCGTCCAAACAATGACCTCAAAGACGTCCTTTATGGAGCGAAGCAACTCCCTTAGATACGCTCGAGCATACAAAGGACCCTCGCGCGCATACACCACGGTTTCATCCAGATCCAAAACCACGGTATACTTTTTATTCGTCCCAGCCGGCGGGTCTACAAGGCGCTCCTTGTGACCTGCCATCGTGGGCCTCCGTCGCTTGCGAACCTCGTCAACGTCATGACGGCGTCCTGCCTCGTAAACGTTTTCCCTCAACAACTCACACCCCTTGGGGGGAGGAGAGGGAGGAGGGGATAGTGGAAGTGGCGAACTAATTGTAGCAGGGGTCCTGGACATTATCCTCTCACCTCAACATCTAATAACGCACGTCAGTGACGGTGATGAAGTAGTGGAGCCAACATGACAAATTGTTGGTGTGCAAATCATGCACACGCGCAGAGACAGAAAGAAGAAGAAGAAAAGGATACAGGAAAGATGCCTCCCGCACCACACGGATAGGCCACCGGCAAACACAACCAGCCAGCAGTTCAGTCACATTTACCTTGCTCGTCCGTGTGACTCCAACCTCCAACCCCACCTGCGGCGAATGGGCGGAAAGGGCGTACAAGAGCTTCTTTCTTACACACAACAATAATAGAGCAGTTAGGGCACATCGTCATGAACCCAATCATGTTTACGCGCAATATCTATGCCCCTTCATTCTCATCCGGGTCACGCAAGTCCGTATCCTCCACCACACGTGAGTCAAACACCACCTTATCTTCTTCCCACCAGCAAGAGGTGCTTCTCCCATTCAGCAACGGCGCCTTGCCGGATGTCGTCACGATGACTTGTGTGTGTCTTGGACAGGCCGGGCACGGGAGATATGGATCCTTCTTTCCAAAATTAACGTAACCTCCTGAAAACAAGGCACACACAGTATGATACTTCTCGTGACAATCCGGGTGATAACAAGCCACACTCGCCCCGGGCATCCCACACAACTCACATGTCTGCATAGGTAACTCACAAAAGACAACGTCTTCAAGCTCTGCACCTCGCTGGTAACTCGCGCAAAGGTGGGCGCAGCGACAGTGCACAACGTGTACACTATGTGTGCGGAGATCCACAAAGTGTTGGGCACAGGTGAGGCGCCGTTGCGATTTCCCATCCCGTGTTCGTCGAAGATCACCTAACGCGTGACGCAGTTCCGCCATCGTTGGAATATGCCGTCCCATGTTTCGAGTACTGTTTTTTAATAAATCCTCCACCACCCGAAGTGTGCCTTCATCTTCACAGTTAACACCACAAATAATACACGTCTGGCTGACTTCCTTCCTCCGCCGGATACGATCTTTTTTGTTCTCTTCTTGAAAGGCCTCATGCTCCATAATAGAATCTCGCATGCGCACATCTTTGGCGGTTACGCAAATGGTATCAGGTTCCCACTGCATTGGATCTTCGCGTCCTCGCTTGGCAAGAAACTGCGCCTGCTGTAGCTCAATCTGTCTGCCCAGTTGTGAAGGCACCACGCCAGACACCGGCATTGCACTGGAAGAAGCACCGCTGGACAACGAAAGCATCGTACGTCTGGCTCCGCTGAGCATAGAGGAAGAGGATGACGACGAAGATCCCAAAGAAGAGTGCACCTTGGGAGCGTTGGGGCTATACTGCACGTTGTAAGGCTCACGAGCAACTGCAAGATCACTGAGATTGACAAGTCCGGTACGTTGCAGGTTCTCCCGCACCGTCACCACTTGCTCGGAACGCAGAGCTACAGGGAGTGGAAGCACCTGCACTACCTCCACTCTCGATCCTCGATCCATACGAATTAGAAGCGGATGCGTGTTTGTCTGAAATCGTCTATCTACCTCATTCTTTACTCGAACATACACGTTTCGTAGCTCTACCACCTGCTTGCGATCGCCTCGCAAATTATCTCGAACAGCCTTTTGAACAGCGACGTCAAACGTCACTAAGCTGATTTGCTGCTGTGGATCCGCTGCGTCGCAAAGGTCTATCTCACACACCAACACATTCGGCTTTGGGGTCTTGAAACGTATCGCAATGACCACACCCCGAATGAAAAAACCTGGGATACTTGGGTGGACACGTCAGGGCGGCAATGGGAAGGCACACACCATCTGTGGTATGGGCCTGAAGAGCCTCAGAGGTGAGAGGCATCACCGTCCCTGCTGGGCCACCGCTTGAAGGAGGCTCTAAGGGTCGTTCACGGTGTACCTCCACGTCGAATGAGACGGCCTTCTCTACGATAGGCTCATCCCCTCCCTCCTCCTCCTCCTCGCCTCGGCCATCAACTCTGTCACCGGTCAAAGTCTCTCTATTTGTCCCTGTGGCTGTTACAGCCGCCTCATCCACCAATGCCGTCAAAAGTTCGCCCCAATAGGGATCGTCCACCACGATCGTGTCGCCCGTCTTACTGTCCCTGTGGAAGACAGTAAAGTCGCACGGTGGAACGTCCATAAAGCGAAGCTTTTTCTCTACAACGTCTTTAATGCCCTGGTAGCCATAATCGTGTGGATCTGTCACGGTCATGGTGTCGCGGAACACCCGTTCCCCTTGTACACCAGGCACCTTCGTAAACCGAAGGCGAATGCCGAGTCGCACCACCACCATGGAAGGGTGGCTTCAGAAAATAAAGTAAGAAAAAACAAACAACAACAACAACAATAATAAAAAAAGAGCAACACGAAGTTCCAACCACACGCAGGTGGAGAAGTCAAATGGAAACAACAATCGTATTAAAAGAAGGCAAGACACACAAAAAAAAAGCAACAACAGAAGAAACATCTCCTCAAACCCCAACACGACACACACACACACACACATGTATCATGTAGGCATTAACGTAGTATTTTATGTAAAGAGGATTCCATTCATCGAAGGAGACGAAAGATGGCCCCCGGATCAAGTGTGGCGAACTGAAACGCCTCTCGCAGCGCAGAGGTTACTGCAGAGCCCCGTGGCAACGTCATACGCAACACGCATGTCATACCACTACGTCTGGCAGCCTTTAAAAAATAACTTCGCTGCTCCGCACCACGAATACCAGCTCGTGCAATCATGTTTTTACCCGTTTCCATAAAAAGGGGCGAAGGCTGTCGTATAATGCCTTCCTGATCCCCATACAGCAGCGGGCGAATGGGTGCATCATTGTTGCTCTCCCAACACCAACCTCTCTCGTCGTCAAACACACAATATGCAAAATCCTTTGGACGCACAATGAGGCGACGGTAAGTGGCCGGTGGAGCGGCCTTCATTTTTGTCAACCCCTCAATTTGCAGTTCCTGCACCAATCGCTCAGAGGCCTCCTTCAGTCTCCCACTTGGGAGGACTAACTGCTCGACGCCGCTGCCCATAACGGGAAGCACCACCTGCCCCAAGCTAAACCGTCGCCCCTCTTCAGGGCTTTGCACGAGGCGAACCCTCTCACGCATCCGATTCATGTGGTTTTCTCCTGCGATAGAAAGCCATTCAGGATGACGCCCGTGTATCATTTCACCATTCATGTGATCGGCTGGGGCTTCAAAAATATCTAATGGACCCCCCTCTGCGTCGGAAATCACAAGATCTCCCACATCTACTTGAGTTCCTTGCATATTCCAACGAAGGGATGCCAACGCGTTAAAATGTACATCCGCCACACTTCTCAATTTTTCCTGAAGCAGCAAACGAGGAATACTCTCTCGAATTAGTTGGGCGGAGTCGTGATGTGTGGGCACGATATCTGACGCCCGCTCAAGGAAATCATACAACAGAGTGTGATGAGGATAATACAATCCTGTTTGCGGTCGGTGGACCATGATGTCATCTTGTTTCAAAGCGTACTCCAGGCCCTGCTTGAGACGCGCCCAATCCCTACGCGTGGACTTTGGATTAGCAAGCATCTCTAACAGTGATGGAGTCTCCTTGCAAAGCAGCGGGGAACGCTCTGTCAGGCCAAGCACATGTCCTCGGAGAAACTCCACGTAATCGCGATGAAGAAGATGCCGTCCGCTTTCAAAGGCACGAAAAAGCCCAACGCCGTGCCGTGCCAAATGTGAATAGTTTAGAAAACCATGTTTTGCTAAACCCTCGAGACGGGGAAGGACATCCGCCAGGGACCCACGCATGCATCTCAACACAATCGAGTACCGTATGTCTGGCAACAAATGAATGGGCAAAGATGGCACTGCCTTCGCATCAAAAGGAGTGCGCATGGCTTTCCCAAGGCATACGATTCCCTCGGCAAGATGGACCTTCTGCTCACTTTGAAAGGAACGGCCGGCGTCACACGAAGAGGAGTGCACCAAAACAAAGCGCTCTTGACAAGAAACAAAGTCCATTGGTGTGAGAAACCAAATTGACGTCTTATGGGGACATTTTCCCTCAATAAGAGTGGCAATTGCACTGTCTGGAACCCCTTCAGATATCACACGCACAAGAAAGGCAGTGGTTGTATGCGTTCCCATGGCTCCCTCCTCTTGAAGCTGGTGAAGGACACCATCGGGCCATACTTCCTGAACAATAAAATCATCAAAGGACCATTTCATTAACCCTGTTACTCGCAAGCCACGTTCTTCCTCTGCTCTGGTACCGCCACTGTGTGTGGTGCGCAGCTCAGTGATCCCAACGGCATCCTCCACTGCAGCAGCGCTGTGGGCATGCTTCATGGACCTCCGGAAGTTAATTCTATCCTTCGTCATGATCGGTGGGATCCAGTCTCTTCACATATGATGCCCGGTGTGTTCCACCCTCAATGAGAATGTGTTCAAGAGAAGAAATGTCAAAAGCACAAGAGCGTGAAGGGAACTAACGTGGAACTACGGAAGGAAGGTGGGTGGACCACGGCAGACTTGTCTTTTCTCACCCGCCCACGCCCAACCGCATGACAGCAATCAAACACCAAACACAAATTCCAAGCTTTTTTTTTCTTATATTTTGATTTTCAAAACTGGCGCATCCACAGCCGGCGTTTTAAATTCCTCTTCCCCCCGCCCCAATCCACAGCTTTTCTATTTTTATCCCCCCCTTTTTTTTGTTCTTCATGTTCACCTCTCCGAGAGCTTGGCATTCGCCTACTTTGCAAGGGCCTCTCCGCGCCAACAGGGCAAGCAGCGCGCCGCGTAGCCACCATGAGGATTCATCATAAAGTAGAGACGGCCATTCCAAACACAAAATCCCACACAACTTAAATATCCAACTTGACTACTCACTACGCCGCTTAACCAGTACGACCACCCTATTCCTGTGAAAAACTCCGCCTCGCTGCGGAGGACACGGGAGTCCAACGGCACTGTGGCGATGGGATAACGATAATACAGTCTCCGTCCGGCGGAGGACATAAGGAGGCCTTTGCGCCAAAGCAGGCTTCCTAGACCGCTACCGGCACACCATGAGAGGCTGTTAAACCCAATGGCTTTCATCCATGCCTGCCCCCATGTGTTACGTTTGCCGCTCCAAATCCCCTCCGAGAGAAAGTAGTGCAACGTCGTTCCAGAAAGTACCCCTGATATGGCGATCCAACCCACTTGTCGCATAGGACCATTCAACGAGTAGTTTATTTTCTTTTCTGTATAGATGGATGTGGCGGTCCCAATGCATGACACCATCAGTGCCATTATGGAGGAGAGAATAAAACCGTAATAAATGCCGCACAGGTTACATCGCTTCTCCTGGGCATGCTTTGCCTTGACAGTTGCTGGGACTTCGCCCGAGCTGACCCCAACTTATACGAGGAACTTAGGGTTCACCTTTTTGCCTATAATGATCGATAATTTTGTAGTATCCAACTTCGCTATTTCTATCCGTGACAGTTCAAGAAGAAGAAGAAGAAAAAAAACAAGCAACCAAATGAACATACATCCACCCACATACATACACTCGTGGCGTATCAGAGATTCATACTGAAGACGCAGAGTACACACAAAAGTTCCTCTCCCCCCTCTCCCTCTTAGACACATACATGCATACAAATAAACACAAAAAAAACACACATATACACACCAAATTTTTCCTGCTCCTTCCTCCTCTGCAATATCTTATCTATCTATGAAAAAACTCTCCGACGGGCGTGAAACAAACTCTCACACCCTCTCAGCCAGAGACCAACGGACGCGGGTAGTAGTGCCCAGTTTATTTTCTTTTTTTCTTTTTTAGTCTTAAACATTAAATTTCTACCAAACGTCTTTATAAAGTTTCTATGATATCCACTTCTGTGCACTAATGACAACAAGAAGTATGTGGTGAATCTCCTTTCCATCTCCCTTTATGTACACCCCTCCCTCCTCCCTCCTCCCTCCCTCCTCCCTCCTCTCAAACTCAAAAAGAAAAACACACCAAGTTGTGAGAGGGGAGGTATAAAGGTTACGTAAATAACAACAAACTCAAAAACAAAAAAACATGTATTCATTTGTAACGCAGGAAAAGGAAGCAATGAGGTCCCCAACTTGGAATTCTGTGGGAGATTGCCGTTACCCCATGCAAGTTTGCCTTCAGCCTTCAATGCCCTGTTCCTGTCATTTGCATGAGATGACTTCTCTTGGAAGTGGAAAAATATATCTACTTTTTGCTGTTCTTCGTCTTAAAAACGACAACACGCTGGCTTGAAGTATTACCAAAATGATTTGCACGGCGGATCATGTCAATATGATCGGCGGAGAGTCCAGATGCAAGGCTTTGTGAGCGTTGAATAATGCTGCACTGCGCCAGCATGAGGGGTTCCGTGGATCCATCCACATCTGCTGCGGTGACGCGTGTCGCAGAAAGCGAGTAAGTCGAATTGGTGGTGACGTTCATCGTCGACTGTGTCGATGAGGTTTGCCCATTTAATGTTGTCTGATGATCTCCCCGCTTTAGTTGCAGGACAGTTTCCTCCTCACGAAGCTGCTCCCGCAAGTGTTTCTGTCTTAAACGCCACAGCTCATGCTTGCGCAGTAGCGCCTCCGATTGCGCCTGCTCCGCCTCCTCGTCTAGTTCCACAAACCCTCGAGAGGTGGTGTTACCCAACAGAAGCGTATCCGTCTGGGATGAAGTTGCACCAGTATCTATGAGGAGAGCATCGTTCTCCATCGATGGTGGCTCCATAACGGCTGTTTCGTCCCCAATGACAAGTTCTGGCATGCCATTGTCGGATTCCCCGTCGTCGGTGGTTAGTCGGGAGATGGAAAGCTGAGAGTTCGCAATCTCCTTCTGCAACAGTCGCTCAAAGTTCTGTTTTTTCTGCTGCTGCACATTGGAGAGGAATCGACTGGTGATGTCACTGGCAACTAAGGGGGACCAAGCAGAAGACAACTGTGACCCGGCCGTTGGCGAAAAGGGATTGCTCCCCTCACTCGACCCGTCGAGTATTCCCGAAAGGGAGCGCGAAAGGACCTCCTTCATATTGACGTGGCGTGCCTCATTTCGTAGGGCCTTCTGTGAACGGCGGAAGAGAAGCAGGGGGTCATCCGCGTCGCACCCCGCACACTTACCTTGACGTTTTCTCTTGCGAGACGCTGGCGGCTGCTTCCTCCCATTTCGCCGGCTGGAGGCTGCCTCTTTGGCGTCCGACAACGCCTCGTCCATGAGGGGGACAGCGTTACTCGTGTCGTCGTTTTCCTCGTGAAAACCCAAAAAAACGGCGTCGTGCACGCACTCCAGGAGTGCCGCGTCTGCCGCTGCGTTAGCGGGGGGCAGATGCAGAGACTCCTGTTCCTCCACGAACTGCCGAACCTTGTCCTGCGGCGACAGAGTCTTCCCCGCGAGGACGGCCTCCGCCGAGCCACAGAGCAGTGGCGTCAGACTCGTCACGCAGATGGCGTCTTGCACAACGCTCATTTTATCCGTTCCCCGTCAAGGTCCAGCGTGGATGCGGCGTAGGCTCCACCACAGTGCAGCTATAGAAACAGGATTAAATCACAACAGAACAGCAACTTCTGTAGCACGTACACACCCACACATACACAGATATTATACGCATAGCAGAAGAAGGAAGAAAAACAAAAAGAATAACTATTCATTGCGGAAATATAAAAAACAGCCACAACAACAAGCATTCAGAACCAAAAAACAAACGCCCACCACCAAGCCCACTGCACGGAGAAATAATAATAATAATAAATAAATCCCTTGTTGTTTGTATTTATTCTTCACTGCAGTTCAAGGACACCTACAGCTTCCAACTGACAGCTAGCCTCTGCACACGCCAGTGCTGTTAATCCTGCTATATTTTTTGCGCTGCGTATGGCACCATGTTTAAGAAGAAGTCGCAGCACAGCAACCTGACCGGCACCAGCTGCGAGGTGGAGTGGTGTGCGCCGCATTTCATCCTTTGCGTTCGGATTGGCGCCCTCGTCCAGCAGACGCTCCACTATGGCAGTGAATCCGCGCTCCGCCGCGTAGTGCAGCGGGGTCCATCCGCCAGTGTCTGCTGCATCCAAGTCCACCATTTGCATTGGCTGCACCGAGAGAATGACCTCAACAACGCGAACGTTTCCAGAAAAGGCAGCATGATGCAGAAGCGTCATCTTGTTGCCATCGCGCTCTGTGACGCAACCCCCATGCCGCACATACTCCTCCACGCGTGCCTCGTTTCCCAGGTGGCAGGCATCATAGATGGTTTCCTTCCGTTGGCAGTCAGTCGCCATGGGTGCGTGGCGTACCGTGCCTCGACACACCCCACTCACCGTCAGCAAGCAGACAAAGGGAAAGAATAGAAGAAAGATGGGAATCAATAAATAAATGTGAATGTGCCAGTCTGTTATTTCCCGGTAAATCCGCCTCATATGGCATCGCTCCTCTTCAGCAGCTCCCTTAATATATATATATATATATATATATAAAGCAAAAGCAAAAGCGTTCGCCTCCTTTTTCGCCTCCACCATCCCCAATTCTTGCGTTTCTTTTCACTTCGCCGCCATATCCTTTCGGTTTTGGGGAGGCTTTCATTCTACCTTTATCCTCTTCATTCAGAGGTTTCACACGCCTCCCAGCACTTTCTTTTGTTTCTGTTTCTTTTTCTGTTGCCCCATTCGATGGTTTTCTCTTCTCGCCTCATTTTACCCTCGCGGTGCGTCCCGGTGTGCGGAGGTGCAGAGATGCCCGTGGGCTCTAATCGCCCACGTTGAAGGAAAAAGCACGATCGTGTGTTCACACACACCACACGTTCCCCCCACCCGGAACATATTTATGACTTATTTCGTGAGGCTACGCTGGCTTTGGTTGCCTGCGTGTCTCCTTCCTCCAAACCCGCCTGGTGCATCAGCTCTGAGATGGAATTTTCAAGGTCGTCAATGCGTGTTCCCATCTCATCAATGCGAGTAATGATGGAGTCAGACATCTCCTGAAAACGTTCTTGCATATTTTGAAGCAAATTTTGCACGAAACCCGTTAGTTCCTGTGTGTTGTGCTCACGACATGCACCTGCCGCAGCCCCGTCTGAGGTTCTTTCTGCACCAGCAACAGAAGCAGAAGCGCTTTTGGACATGGCTGTTCTTTTCTGGACCACCGCTGTGCCTCTACAAACGCGCTACGAAACCCACAACACAACTGGAAACTTCCTGCGGCAAACCCACAAAGACACGGATGGACCCAGGATAAAACAAGGAGGCAACGAAGACAGCGTTCCCCAAGCAGACACAGAAAAATGTGAAAAAATATGGCAAAAATAATAATAGTACGGCACCGGCAAAGTCCTACACCTTCATCACCAACGTCGTTTTTTTTTTTTTCCCTCTCTCACCATCATCAGAAGCGGAGGCCATGCAGCGGAGTTGAACACACGTGAGAGATATAAAATATATATATGATAAAAGCGGGCTCATCTGGATCCCACAACGTGGGATCCAGTGAGAATTGCATACGCAGTAAAAGGGGAATAAACACCTGTCCAAGCGGAATCACAGCAAGGGAGAGAGAACGACGACAAGAAAAAAAGATGCATCCTCACGCGGTTCATGGTCAAGTAGGCGCACAGAAAAAAAAAGGCAACATACATACACAACAGCACACTTCGCTCCTCCTTCCATCATACCGTATATAATACATACATATGCATATAATGTTGCCATCGGTTACGCGTCTTCACGCGGATCTCTATTCCCAGGGATGAAGAGAAGCGGATCTATTTCATTGATATCGTTAGGCAAAGAACCACTGGTGAAGGAGCTGAGAACAATAGCCCGTGCCGTTCTTCCAAGCCCATCAGTGAAGCTGGAACGCCCATTCCCATCCAAACTACGTGAAAGGAACAAGGGTGTTGCACCCTGTGCCCGTCGCAACAAGATCGGCTCCTGCATTCCACCCGGGACCAGCGAGCCAGCGCCGTTTGGCTGCGAGACCTGCGTCAGCGTCTCACGGTCGTCGCCCATGGTCGTCGGTGTACGGTTCCCAAGCAGGACAGCATCTGTCTGTGTCTTCCGCTGAAGGAGGGGAAGCTGTTGTGCCTCCTCCTCCGGGACAATCCGCACACTCGAACTCAACTTCATAGCCACAGCAAATCGAAGTTTCCGGGCGTTGCCGAGCGATATCATCTTCGTTGAATTCTTTAAGGTGTACTCCGCCACACGTTTGTTCATGTCCACCATGAGTGACACGTAGTCATCCTTTTCCAACGCCTCGAGTCCATCTTCCTTTCGATGATGCGGAAAGTTTGAATAAAAGACACCGGTCATATAGTACACGCAACAGTGCGAAGTCCTGTGAAATTCCTGGTCGGTGCTAACGCAGGAGTCTGAGACCAACCCAATACCGACATAATCGCTGTTAAGAATCTGAAACGTGATGCGGTGACGTCCCGTAATGAGAAAGCGTTGGCCAACTATGGCGACACCGTAGATGACGCGAAATCGATTTCGCTCGGGGTTCACGCCTGGACCAGGCCGAAACTTAACGATGCTCTCCGTGGTTTGAGCGCCCAGATCATCCATTAAGCTACTAATCTGAAAGTACCGTGCGTCCGTCTTCAGCATCGACAGTTGGTCGTCGTTGAGCAGGGTTAGCATGCGGTAACCGCGAAGGTAATTAAGAATGAGACGAAACGTGGCAGGGTCTCTGTCGATGAAAAGTGCCCCCGTCTCATCTAACAACGGGGCCTGCATGAGATTGCTGTAGGAATTGCTATCACCATCATCCTGCTCCTGGATCTCCTCATTTTCACCCAATGCGCTGCCTTTGCAGAACCCAAAAAGGACATCAAAGTAGTTTGGTTTCCCATCTTTACTTAATAGAAGCTGAAGAGGCACAGTAAAAGTCTCATCCCCAACATTAAGACGTATTATATCATAGGGTGAAATGTTTCTTAGTGAGAGAATGTTGCCCATCACTGCCGTGGACTGTTCTCGTCGCTTCAGCAGTGAGGCCACATCCCGTTCAATTAACTGACAGGCGTCAAACTGTCCCTTCAACTCATTCTGTATGTCTGCTGCCGCCGCTGCCGAGGCTGCTGAGGGAAGACGGTCGGACTCCTGCGACGCCTCCGTGTCCTCGTGGCGGCAAATGTTTTCATGTGTGATCATGCCGCTGCGTTGTGACGTGACCTTCACCCTCCGTGTCTCCACGCCACTCTGACGCGGACGTTTATGCCGTTCCCGCGGGACAACGCTTCTCTGCGGCATCTCCAGCTCTCCTACGTCACGTTCCTTTAGACGCGCTAATCAACAACAAAAGTCAAGACTACAACGGTCCAAACAAATAACAAACAACAAAAAGAAAAACAAAAGGCTTAGCTCCCTTCTCTAGTCCTTTCCTCACTGCCCTCCCTCTCCCCTTGTGTTCCCCACGTTCTACGTTTGATGCGTACTTCCTGCGGACGGAGGCAGACGGGGAGGAGCGGGTAACGCACGCGCAGACACCGTCATCGCATGTACGGTAGAAGGCGCGCGAGCAGCCAAATGCAAAAAAAAAAAAGTGGAAATACATGTAGATGTGTTGAACGGGTCGCACCCCACAAAAAAGGGATGTATGGAGAAGAAAAGAACAAAGCAAAAAAAAGAAAATAGTTACACCCACTTACACACGCACTGAAACATCAATACCCCCC